AGCCGCAGAGAATTGCTTCTTAAATATGTAACAAGGTGTCAAATGTTTGGATCGTGGGCCTGGCAAAGCATTATGGTTGTTTTTTTAAATTTACGGGCACGTTTATCCTCAAAATTTTGATTGAACTAACTACATGTATCAACTAGCAAATATGGATTAATCAGATCGCTTTATCCCTCATAGAGACGTAAAATGTAGACTCCAGAGTTAAAATCTGCATATTCTACATATTTTTAAATTTTGTTAAAGCAATCTCGGATGCTTGCATGAAATCATAAAATTACCTCCACAGCATCTAGCACTCGCGGATTCGTCTTGGACCAGTCTTTCACAGCCAGAGGTCTTACCGGTTCCTTTGAAGTTGTGGTAAGTATGGTCGCATCCTGAATACTCGCATCATCTTCCTCTGTCCAAACGACGGACCGGGGCGTAGACATCTCTGATTCCGGACTGTTCAAATACTGGCTCATTGTGGAGGGCAGTTCGGTAAGGAAAACGCTGGGGCTACCATCGTCGTCAATTTTGACGTTCAGAAATTGTACAACGTCGCATTCGCTTTTGGCGGGTGCTCTGCGGTGACTCTCTGCCGAATGCAGGACCATTTGCCTGCGCCAATTGGACCTTGATTCATGCGAATCATTTTCATCACTATCTGAGCTTGATGAATAAAAGGTTGGATATTATTGGTCAAGGAGGTTAGGCCAGTCGGACAAATATCTGCGGATACCGGTTAATTCAGCATCTTCATTTCCATAAAAATTAATTTGTGGACTTGGCACAGATCATTATATTCAAGAGTCTGTATAGGCGGAGCGAAATTTGATGTAGATATTTGGACTGTAGTCCACTAGGCACCATGGCATAATCGCGTAATATTCACGAGCTGGCCACAGACAAGAAGTAGTATAAATTGTGGAAATATTTACCCTCCTGGCAGGACGGGTAGCTGTTGCGAGTGCGAGTGCTGCAAGAAACTTTAATGACGAAATTAAAATTGGTAGTTTAGCATATATTTTGCCAGTAGTGATTTAATAATTGGAAAGGTTTTAGTTTGGAAAACTGCCCTCTTAGTTAACATTCTGGAGCGAAATAGACATTATTTCGGCTAAATCATGAGTAGGTTCATAACGAAGAAATCCCC